TGGGCCGGATCCAACCCCCAGGCCTTAGTTTGCCTACCCATGGGTTAAAGCATTGGGCTAGGACCTGGGAGATCAACATTCAAATCCCTAGTCAGTCATGAATCTCACTCGGTGATCTTGGGCCAGTATCTGTCTCCCAACTTAACCTACTTCCCAGGGATAAATTATGGAGGGCGAGACCTCCTTAGAGGAAACATGGGCAATAAATGTCTTTCCCTCACCCTTGTGTAGAATCTGAGGCCTGTGAACCCCATTTCTGACAATTATTTCACTTTTAGCCACTAGGGCCTACAGCCACCTGAGGATTCTGCTTCAAATAGTGCAGACCCATTTCAAATTGCAAATAAGCTGTAAAGGGTATAGCCTACTTCCAGAATCCAGCCCCACAAATATTGTGTGTAAACCAAATCAAATTAACACATCTCTTTATTATGTTGCAATGGGAAGGTAGTGGTTGTTAACAGTGGCAAGTGCTAAGTGTGTTGTGCTGCTCAGGCACCCCATTTATTATATTCTATCTGAAAAAAGACGCTTACTGGCTGGTGCAGCAAGATGTAAAGCCCAGTTGTAAGCCAGAGAGGATGTATTTCGATGCTCAATTGTTTCACTAGGTTGACAAGGTCATGTACAGTTCACTTGGAAATGATTCAGAAAGAAGCAAAAAAGATCACCTCCTTTGGGACAGAAAACTAAAAACATTCCACGTCTGTTGACTTTGCTGAAGAATTGTTATCAATTAACTTTATCAATGAAAGTGTAAATATGTGAGCAGAAGCATCTGTGTCACTAGTGCTAAGATTACAAGCTATTAAATCGTCTCCATTATTAATATTAATTTAGACTTAGCATTTTGTGATAAGCAAAATAGTGGCTTTAATGTTATAGTAAGATTGATCATCTAGGGAATACAGTATGCCCCCACATCCCTATCCCACTCTTACAAGACCCCATTTAGCTTCTCAAATATTTCAGCACATATAGGAATGAAGGGCTTGGGCATGGTCAATAAAACATTTGGGGAGGGATGTGTGCTCCAAAGGGGGTCAGATTTCCCTGCCATATGACTCCTCAATGTTGCAAAAAGGGGAACTGCTGTTTGATAAACAAAAATCCACACCCATTTTCGATACACAGGACTATTTGAACATATTTTTGCAAGTAAAATATGCAGGGAAGAAGATCCTCAAGCCTGGGGGCACCCAAGCTGCTCTGCAACCTCCGAGTGCTTTTGCTGGCTGGAATGTGTCCTTGAGAGGTGTGAGGGCATGCAGAAACCTCTGATCTGCACAGCCTCTGGGCTGTAGCCCTACTCTACAAAATTCAGAGTCACCTCTATTGCTCCATGTGCTTTTTGTGTCTGGAACCAATACTGGAATGTGGCCCCCAGAAGGCTGCGAGGGCCAGCAACTTGGTTGGCTTTGAAAGAGGATTAGACAACTTCATGGAGGACAGCATAGCATGACCTCCACTACCAGAGGCAGTGCACCCCTGGATGCCAGTTGCTGGGGATTGCAGCTGGACAGAATGCTGCTGCGCTCATGCGCTCAAGCCCAGCTTGCAGGCTTCCCACTGTGAGAACTGTATGCTGGACTAGATGGGCCATTGGCCTGTTTCAGGCAGGCTCTTCTTATCTTCTTAAGTGTTTTAAATTTGTTGTTAGCTGCCCTGAGCCCGGTTTTCTGAACCGAGAAGGGTGGGGTATAAATAATAAAATATTATTATTATTATTATTATTAATAAAACAGCCTTGCATACCCTCCAACATTTCTCCGGTGAAAATAGGGACATCCTACTCCATAATAATACAGTGGTGCCTCGCAAGACGAAATTAATTCGTTCCGCGAGTTTTGTCGTCTTGCGATTTTTTTCGTCTTGCGAAGCACGGTGTCGGGAAAGTTTTGGGAAAGCTTCAAAAATCACCAAAGTCTTTAAAAACCTCAAAAAAGGCTACCACACCGCGTTCTATGAGTTGCTCCTCGAAGTCAAGTCGCAACTGTATTAACGGTGTTAAGAAAAAGGAAACAAACTTGCAAGACGTTTCCGTCTTGTGAAGCAAGCCCATACAGGGAAAATCTTCTTGCGAAGCAGCTCAAAAAACAAAAAACCCTTTCGTCTAGTGAGTTTTTTGTCTTGCGAGGCATTCGTCTTGCGAGGTACCACTGTAATTTTATTATTTAAACCGCACCCATCTGACTGGGTTGCCTCAGCCACTCTGGGCAGCTTCCAATATTATAACAAAACATTCAATATTAAGAAAACTTCTCTATACAGGGCTGCCTTCAGATGGCTCAGGGATCAGAAAAATCCATACCTGCCAACATTTCTCCGATGAAAATAGGGACAACCTACCATACCTGCCGATGGAAACAGGAAAGTCCTAATGAAATGCGGGACATCCCAGGATCAAATCAGAAACTGGGATGGCTTTTGTAAAACTGGGACACTTGGAGGGTCTGGCCTTGCAAACCAAAGGGGAAAGACTGGTGAGCCTAATCAGGCTTTGGGGTTGGAGGTTCCACACTCCTGGAAAAAATAGGGTCTGTCAGATTAGCTCTTCATTAAGCTGTGCTTCCTCTCTCCCCTGCAGCTTTAGACCATCAGAAACCAGCATAAAAACTCTTTGGGGAGTTGGCCTAAGCTGCCAGGCTCTGTTTCATTTCTTTCCTTTCCATTTCTTTCTTTTTGTGTGCGTATGTGGAAGGAAGAATGCATTTGAGAAAAAAAGTTTGAAAAAACAGATATTTCTGCGACAGGTGGGTTGCTCTTTTAAATAGTTTTCGTTTGGAACTGCTCATCCCCACTCCCCTCTCTGAATGCCTTTAGATGCCACCCCAGGAGCAGATCTGCTAAGAAGGTGCTATTTTTTGCTGTCTCTTTCAGAGACGAAATGAACTTTGATTATTTTTGCTCCTTGCTGACACATTTGTTTACCATTAATGTTTTTGACATGTTGTCTCATTGTTGTTTAATACCGATTCAGTACTAACCCATAATATAGGTGCAAACATCTGTTGTTTACTCTGAAATGACTAACATTCTCATATAAAACTTCCATGTAAAAGAATAAATAATGAAAAGAACTTTCCAAAGCAGCAAAAGTCTAAATGTTCTGCCTTTAAAAGTTTGCAAATCCATTGATACTTGGAAGAAGATGTGGCAGCTGCACCATTCCCAGATCCTTTATTTATTTGGCAGCCTAATCCTATGTGTATGTACTGAGAAGGAAGTCCCAATAAATTCACTGGGGGTTACTCCCAAGAAGGTATGCATAGGAGTGCAGTTTTATGGGGTAGTATAACCACATTGACTTCCATGCACCCTATTTTGAAGGAATGGGCTTCCTTCAAAGTATTGGCTGCATCATACCTATGTTTGCTTCTAAAATACACCTACAGTTCAATCTTATATATGTCTACTCAGAAGTAAGTCTCATTGAGTTCAGTAGATTTTATTCAGGTAAATGAGGAAAGGATTGCATCCTTAAACCTTTATGACATGCTACCTGATGTAGTAAAACTGTCTAAGGAGCTCATAAAATCAGAATTGAAAATCATTTATTATAACCATCCGATGTAACTTATTTATTACCTAGTGATCATTATCAAATCTACAGCCCAATCATGTACAAATGCACCTTAAGTAAATCCCATTGAATTCAATGGAGCTTAACCGCAACAGGTAAGTAGGTAAAGGAATGCAGCCTCGGGACAATAATCTACTATTGAGTACTAAGCTGCCATTACTGCTGAGAAGTAATGGAGGGTAGGTGTGCAGCTCTGCACCCATATTGCTTGGAGGCAGCAGAATCAGAAATGGCAGAAGAAGCAGTGTGCCAAGGCAGAAGGGCCGTAGTTCAGTAGTAGAGTGCATGCTTTGCATGCAAAAGATCCCTGATTCAGCTCCAAGCATCTCCTCAGTTAAGGCTGGGGGAGAGGCTCTTGCCTGCAAGCCCGAAGAGCTACTGCCAATCAGAGTCAACAATACTGGGCTAGAGGAACCCATGGTCTGGTTCCTAAGGGAGCTTCCTAGGTTCCAGACCTGTTGAATGGCCCACAGTATCCAGTGTAGGCTGATGATATCAGAAAGTGAGTGCAGCCTCTCTTGTTGAGCCTTGAGAAGCAACAGCTGAACTGGCATTCACGATACTCTGGTACCTAGGTGTGGCAGCTCTGTCTTCTACTGTCCTTCATGGATTTTGTGCTCTGTGGTCCAGCTATCCTAGATTTAGGATAGATTTCAGTTTTTAAAAGGGTGAGAACCTTTTGTTTAAAAAGGTGAGAATGCCTGGAAGAATTGTTGGATATGGCAAAAGTCCAAATGGGGTACAGTGGGAGCAACGTCTCTCAAATTCTGTTTTAAGGGATGGCTATATCCACTGCAGATCCTAATTCTGTCCTTTGTTAGCAAAGGGAAGCTTGGACTTCAAATCTGCAATTGTCACTTTAAGACTTCCTTGTTTTTTTGTAAGAGCGGTACTACTCCGGGTGTTATTTTATCCCCCCCCTTTCCTTTGAGTCATCTTGACTGATAATATAAGCACAGAATTCATATGTACATGCTGTATTGCCAATCTGTGAGTCTCACATTTGGCCACTTCTCTTTTGCATATTTAGTAGTTGCAATCTCACTTCCAAAGTTGGGTGCTACTTTTTTGGATAGCATTACACGTGGATAGAAATGTCATGAAACTAGTCTCATACAGGAATAGTGGGAAGAATAGCACTCTACAGAATAGTTTTTAGAAACTATTGCCTCCCAGACCTCAGGACTGAAAGCTTAGCAGTTCCCCACAGGTGCCTCGTGTAGGGAGGTGGGGATAGAGATGTGCTCCGTATCATAGGTGCAGGAATGGGTATCATAATGATACCATAGGTATCATTAGGAATGGAAGAAGGTGCCCTGAGCAGAAGCAGGCAATTGGTCCATCTCACTCAGCACTGTCTATAACTACTGGCAGTGAGCTCAGGGGTTTCAGGCAGGGGACAGACACCAGTTCTACCTGCAGATGCCAGGGACTGAACCTGGGACATTTTGCATGCAAGTCAGATGCTTTGCCACCAACCCTTGGGACTGCAGCCACTCCCCTTAAGGGCAAAATTAATCTCAACAGTGGTCTGCTTGCCTGCTGCCTGCCTGCCTGCTGTCAAAAAATGTGCTGAGTTTTCACCTCTTCAGTGTAATAGAGATACATTTAGGCATGCCTATCCTTGTTGTGACATCACTGCATACTATTCTGAACCCTCTTCATTGGCTGCTACTGTCAGGGGATGGGAAAAGTGTAATGTGGTGACGTCATGATGACACAGAGAAGTGTGCCAACACCTTATCAAGAGAGGTGGCCAACCTCAACATGAGCCTGTCATTTTTGTGAAATTTGTCCCTCAGTGGGAGCAGTGGTGGCTACAGTCCCAATAATAGGCTTACATGCCAAAGGTATCATATTTATGGACCACATATGCAAAATGTAGGCTGCGAGATATTTTGGAACTTACAGGGGAATAAAAGTGGCGTAATTTCATTGTCAGCAGCTGCATGTGAATCAAAGGAGCTATAAACCTCCCTCTCCAATAAGAAACAAACAAACCAAAAAAATAATAATCTGCACCTGACAGCGAAGATGCCTCTATTACATTAAAAATGTGCACAACAAAGATATTTGCTTTTGTCTGTTATTTGCATATTGCTCATAAATTCTTCCTACAAAATGTAACTGATTTGCATTCATCTTGCTTCCTTGTGAATAAAATGCACCTCCCACGCAAGGAAGCACATAATTTCTCCTGCAGAACTGTGTATTTTTGGTTATTATTACTTGGAAATCGTTCCACCATAGCTGAGCCTGCATCATTGTTTCCATTGAGAAACCCAGATTTTGTGGGGGCTTAAACAACGGAGGCACAGTTGAGTCAAAGGAGCTATAAACCTCACACTCTCTCTCCCCATCCCCTTTTAAGCAAAATAGAAATAAAGATCTAGCTGCAATCCTAGAAGCAGTACTTTGCATTAATAGGGTTGCCATATTCCCCAAAGTGAAAATCCGGACATAGTTGTTGAGCTTTGGGAGCATCTCAACACTCTCCCCCCCCCCCCCGCTGCCGCCACACATTCATTTTGGGGCTTTTCTTTGATTATTATTAATTTTTTTACATTTTTTAAAATGAAAATTGTGTAGCTTGCAATATGTCTGGGTTTTCCTGGACATTTTACCAATTCATCAAAAATCCTCCTGAATGCCATTTTGCTGAGGGATTCTCAGACGTGCCCTAGCATTAGGATCTCATCTATTACATGATAACGATACTTAGCGTTCATACAGTAAATTTTTGAAGGGCAACTGTTCAAAGTGCTTCACATCTGTTTTCTTAGTAATCTCTGCAACAACCCCCAAAGACAAACCAGATTGCAGATAGCGGGGGGGCGGGGGCGGGGAGGGTGCAGAAAAAACTGTATCTTTTGTGTCACTTTTCCCCAATATTATTTTAAAGAAAAACAATTCTGGAGAAAGTAAACAGGAACCATGGTAAGGTGGGATGGTTCACATTTTCTCTAATGGGTGTTTTCACAAAGCCTCTCTTTCAAGCTCACCTCTCTACAGGGGAAAAGGTACATGTCATCATACATTCTCTCCTAGAGCCTGAGGAGAGGTGTACTATGAGAGGGGAAATGGCCTGCAGTAACAGGTTGGTTCTGTGACTGGGAGAATGGCATTGCCCTCATGTCCTACTTCCATAGGAATCTGATTAACCAATGTGAAAACAAAATGCTGGATTAGATAGGTCTTTGGCTTAATCTAGCAGGGCTCTCTTTCTCTTTATGCTTCTGATTAATGCCACCCCCAGTGCCTGGCTGCCACCGACTGAAAAAAAAGTCAGCCATATATACACAACTCTGTGTAATGTGTAGTTGGGCACGACAGCGACTTCCTGTCCACTCATGCTGAGGAAAGATCTGAACAAGGAGGATAAAAACTTAAGAGACCCCTGCTGGACAGAGCAAAGGCCTATGTAGTTTTAGATCGGTGCCTTTTTAGCTACAAGTTCATACCAGCAGTCCAAACTATGCTTCGATACCACATTCTCCACGAATGATTAACTCATCCATTAAGTTGGCATATGCAACATGTAGCCATCCTCCGTTTTTGAAAGCCTGTCATGCAAAGCCTTGCTACAGTTCCCTTAGATTTTGCACTTGTCTGAAAGTAGTGACACTCTTACATAGACTGTTTAATCTATACAGCGCTGCTGCTTATTTGGAATTGCTTTGCTTGTTTTTATTTCTATTGTTGTAATGTACTCAGAGACCTTACAATGAAGGGTGCATAATAAATTTCGTAAGTAAATAAATATCTGAAAACAATATAAATGTGAATCCTAAAATACAATATAAAGCCACAGCAATTAAAGAATTGTAATCAACAAAGCAATGCTGAAAAGAGACAGGGTAGGACTGAAGCAGCCTAAGCATGGCCTCCAAAAGATTTGGGGAATGAGAATAGCTTCACCATGCACCAAAATCCAAACGCTGTAATAGCTCCCCATGCCTCTAGGGGGAGGGAGTCCCATAAATGTGATGCAACTGTGGCGAAGGCCACTCCATGTGACAAGCTGCAACAATGGATGGGGTGCTAACACACACCCCATCAATCTCAGGACTCTGGCTGGTTGGTATGGGGAAAGTCACTCCAAGAAATACCTAGGCTCCAGGCTGTTCAGGACTTTATATGTTAACTAGTTGAAATTACCCAGTGTTGCTCGGGAATTTGAAGAAACCGAAAGATACTAAGATTTATAAATGGATAATTTAATTTGTTGATTTCTAGGGCTGTGCATGGCAAATCAGTTTGGGGATAGGGGCTAATGTTTGATTATGGTTTTGTTAAACTCTACCTGGGAGATAGTAAAGCAGGGAGATGCTGGGTCTCCTTTCCACACCCCTCCTGATCACACTTCAGAGAGCAGGATGGGTTCAATCCTGCTGGATGCTGCTTTACCAGTGCATCCCTTGCAGAGAACACACTAGTGAAGCTGACCCCCGTAGCAAGCAGGACTGCACTCTTGGAGAACACCTCCTTGCAGCATGCACTCGGTTGTCTTTCCACAAGTCAGTGGCAGCCAAGAGCTGAGGGTGAGCAAAAAAAGAGAGAAAGGCCTGCTAGATTAGGCCAAAGGCCTATCTAATCCAGCATTCTGTTTTCACAGAGGCCAACCAGATGCCTATGGAAGCAGGACATGAGGGCAATGCCATTATCCCAGTTACAGAGGCAAGGCAGTTGGACAAATGATAACCAACCCATTGCACTGTCCATAGTGCACCTCTCCTCAGGCTCTAGGAGAAAATGTATGCTAACCTAGGAGCTGACTTAGGTTTGTATTCCAAGTAGAGCTTTGTGCAGACTAAATGACTTCCACTCGACCAATGGGATTGACCCCCTTTCTTTCCCCCTCCAAGGAATTACATTATCAGTGATGTCCTGGCCATTACTGCCTTTGGAGATGGATATGGGATCAGCACTTACGCAGCATCCATTTTTCAGATGCCTCCTTCAGAGGAACAAGCTCCTTGCTGGCAGAAGGAGGTACCAAGGGCCACTCCGCAGCAGGAGGTGTGTGATTAGAGGTGCCCAATGGTCAACAGGAGCAGAACACTCCCAAGCCCGGCAACTTGGTCCCACCATGGATCCAGTTCTTCATTACTTGGACTGCTGGCCTCCTCTCCAGACACTTCTTGGAGTCCATATTTCACCTCACCAATCCTGCTAGGGTCACCCAGGTCCAACTGCCTGAGCTCCTTCCATTCCTCCCCAGGATCCAACCATCCCGTCCCTCCATGACACCTCCACAGGATTCATGCCAACTGATAAGCCCAACAGAGATGGACAGCCATCCTCTTTCCTATGCCTTGCAGTGCTGGGTTCAGTCTAACCGATGCTGGGCTCAGGCAAGCATTTATCATGATCTTCTTAAAAGAGGCATTTCAGTTTTCCTTTTGGTTGTTTGGTGTGCTTTATTTCCAGTTAGAAAGCTTGGGAATGTGGGTTTTCCTCATTTGGGTGAAATATCACCAAGTGGGAGATATAAAGAAAATGAGGCTTTGCAACAGATTTGTTTTTTTGCAGACCTGCCGAAACTGAAAAGAATGTTGGCAATGGTGAACATCTAGGTCAAAAATCCCCAGATTGTTGTTCTATACAAGCCACATTGAAATGAATGGAATTGTACATGGCCACTATCCTAATTCTACATGACATGAACCATGTTAGGCTGGTAATTTAGCTTGTTTCCTATGATCATTACTGACATTCTGGAGAGTTCCATAGATATATGCAGAGGGAAAATGTGTTCTCTTTCCCTCCCTTTTAAAAAACATTTGTTTTGCACTTGTTGCCTTGGAATTCCAGTCAAGACTGGAAGCTTAAGTGTTGTAATGATTATGTATTTAATTTTGTAGCTCTACCAATCAGAGACACGCAGGGAATGCCAACTGACCAATGAAGGGCAGAACATCAATTTTAGAATTGCTGATGATGTGGAAGACAACAATGAAGAAGGTGACCATGTGCTTCTTAGTGGACATTCCTGAGTTTTGGAACTCCTTGCCTAGCTAGAACCATCTTTTAAAATCTTTGGCTGTCAGGCAGGTTTTAATTACTTCTTTCTGTTGAGCCGGATCCAGACTCTTTAATCTTTCATAGATAGAAAAGCTTGTTCTATCCATGGAAGGCTTTTGATTCAGTTGAACTCCACTCTGGGAGTAAACACCACTCACCAGGCATGCCAACTCCTAGGGGTGGAGGTGTTTTTGGCCCCCTCAAAATCTGCTAGCATGGGGCCAGGCCCCCTCAATGTTGAAGGGGCAGAGGAAGCTAATCACTGAGCGCAGTGTGGTTCACTGGCTGGCTCCTCCTGGGCATGAAAGAGGAAGCTACGCCACACTGTGCTCCATGCTCAGCCTCCTCCCAAATGCTGTGACATCGCACACACAACACGTTGTGCACATAACAACACATGTGCTTGTCGCACACTGGGCACATGATGTTACACTCAGCGCTGCCCCACCCCTCCAATTCTGGGCTCAAGATGGCGC